GCCGCATGATCATCACTAATAGATGTCTGGCTGATATTACTGCATTTAGCCATGCCTCTATCTCTACTCTTTCTCAGATGTTTTCCTTTCACACCTCTCTCAGTCTCCCTCATTCGAATCCATCGTAGTTCAACGGCTCGGAAACCCTCACCTTGCTCTCAATCTTAGTAACGACAAATAGAGAGAAGGCCATTTCTCAGATCTTTAATATCTCTCACTTCTCTCCCTCATCCTAATCCATGGAGTTCAAAAGCTCAGGACTCGCACTTTCCTTTCAATATCAGAGCCGACAAATAGAAAAAGGTGAGATGTAGAAGTTAAATCGGCATCTCACGACATCAACAAATTCCTTCTCTTCTTCATCCATTCATTTTCATGATTTAGCCATGCCTCTTCACCCGCATATATTAGTTGCTTGAATAATTCATTTTCGCTTGAATAAATTTCAGAAGTTAGACACATTGTTTTCTACTCAACATTTAGGAAAGTTAAATTATATAAATCCTATTGTTTTTATATGTATTTTTCTATTGAGTGTTGTTCCATTCTTATATTTTGCTTCATGCAGGTATATATCAATTAAATTAAGTCTTTTTGACATTCTAAATATAAAGTGCAGATGCTTGCTGCTATTTTTTTCCGTAGCATTTCACGGGACCTCATTGCACTTATTCAATAAAGAAGTAAGAGAACAACTCAAACAACAAATTCAATTCTTTGCCTTTCATTTAAAATGCTTCCTTAACATTTTTTGATCGTTTCATTCTGGTTAAGATCTTTACACCAACGCCTCAATTTTGTTATACATAATATCCACAATTGGATTATGCCACTACCTTTAAACATACAATATTCTATTTATTAATGCTTTTATCAATAAGATTTGATTGTTCTGACCAATATAGTATCACCCCAAGTGCCATTCAAATAGTTGTTAGTATGATTAATAACAAGAAGGGAATCAGATTGCAATCACTGCACCAAGGCAAGTATTTCTTTTAAACGAGTTCTTTCATTTTCCTCCACACCTATTGGCGTTGCAGTTTGAGTAACTTATTGATCTTTCTGTTATTGAACTTTGAACACAAATATTTCTTTATGTGTTGTCATATATTTCTTAAGTATTTTTATGACAGTTTCAGTTATAATTTCATTTTAAGTTTTACAATGACTTAAATATGTTTTTTTATCGCGTCAAGTGTAATGTTGCTGCTTGGTTTTTAGGGCATGTTCTATTTTTATATATATTCGTAATCAGTTTGTTTCCTTACAATGATGTGTGGTTGTTGATTATGACTCAACTAATAATACTCTTAATTTGTTTCGTGTTATTGGAAAGATCTGTCTGTAATCATCTTATCGAAATAGCCAGATTGTCATTACAGGAAAGCAGTTTCTACTATGCATCTTTTTTTAAATTTTATTAAAAGCACCAATTTGTGAATGGCTAAATTACAGGCAAGCTAAACTGGCTTTATGTCAAATGGAAGTTTATTTTTACCACATTTAGCTTTTATGGGATATGATTATCATTTTTTAGAGTGAGATATTAGTTTTATTTTCATTTCTTATGTGAGTATAAATCATTTGCACTCTTTATAAGGTTTTGATGGAGATCTCATCTATATTTCGAACATAAACAAATAAGAACCCCTTAAAGATTTTGTTTTACCCCATGGGGATGGGGTTGGGGGAGCCTTGGGTAAATAGGGCTGAAACTCCCTCCATGGAGTTTCAAACCTAAGACCTCACACACACACACACACATTTTAGCTGAGCTGGACCACTTCCTCAGAACCCCTTCAAGATTATTAGATATTTCTTCATTTCTTTGTGAGTAGAAAGCATTTCCATTATTTATAAGGCTTTGGTGGAGATCACTTGCACTCATCTATATTTCAAACATAAACCATTAGCAAAACAAAGAGCAGTAAGGTAAATTAAAACATAAGTATTGCTCATTTTGACATAGAAGTAATCATCATGTAAAGGTGTACATGTTTTAAATTTTCTTTGCTATTTTGTCTCGGCCAAACAGCATAATGGACTTAATATTAAAATTTCTTTCAAAGTCATTTTTCTTCCTTTGGGTGTATTTCCATATGTGTTATTATAAAAAAGATTTTGTTCTGCATGACTATAATATCCCATTTGACTAATTATAAGATGCCAAATGTTAATATCCTTCCCACCAATTACTCCCTCAGAGAGTACCTACTTTACCTCATAAAAGCACCTTCTTATTAGCTTTTGATTGACTGCCAGAGTTTGGATGGAAGTGCATCGAACTTGAGTTTTGTTGGATGAACTTTATTCCTCAAAAATTTCTCATTTTTGATTTCCCCAAATTCAGAGCTTATATGTAATTTTTTTACTAATCTCTCATTCATTATTTATACAGGAAGTAGGCCACAAGAGGCTACAAAATGAGTAGAAAATATATGGAAGAATCATGGTGACAGTTTAGCACACAGAATTACAAATACACTAAAATTTAGCCGAGTTTTGTACAGATGCAAGAAGTAACACCATTAATCAGGGATGAAACTACTCGCTAATAATGAGTTTGAAACTGTCACCGGCCTGTTTCAATAGCAAAAGACAGACCACCACGTGGAAGCGTTTGATAAGCTGAATGACTTATTTTTCAAGTGGAGTTTAGGTGAGTTCCATTTCCATTTGCAGAAACCCATTTATATATTTTAAAAACTTTGCTAAGAGGAGTTTAGGTAAGTTTCATTTCCATTTGCAGAAACCCATTTATATATTCTAAAAACTTTACGAAGTAGAGTTTTTGTAAGTTTCATTTCCATTTGCAGAAACCTTTACTTATATAAAGATATATAAATGCTCTATCCTTGGGTTGATCTTCTGATGCAAGGTTGTATGACGAGAATACCTTTTCGAAATATGTAATGTTTAGCATACAAGTTGACTTTTCTATTATGAAAATACTCAAAGGGTGCAGTTTATATTTTTAAAAATGACATTGACTTAATGAATACATCGATAATTTCATATTGTCCAGATTCCATTTATATTTTATATGTTATTTTGTTAATCGAGTATTAAATAGTTATTTTTTCCTTTTTCAGGTTCTCAAACAGATGAATGAAAGACGCTCGCATGTTCGGATGTTCCTTAAATAGTTTTCATCTGAGTCATCGCCTAAAACTGACAACTGTGATAAGATGTGTTAGAGTTCTCGATAACTAATTAAGTAATAAAATGTCACTGCTCATTTTTCAGGCATTTTAAAATGCCAAATTGATATGGTGTTCTTGATGGCAGTGCTAATTAATTACCTTATCAGAAGACAATTAGACCATTTGTCTTATCAGATTTGTGTTAGACACAATACATTGTCTTCTTTGTTCAATTATGAACCATCTTAAAATTACAATAACCTATTCCTTTTTTTGATGATTTGATTCATTTTATTATTGAATCCTATCTTTTACATTGCGAAATATTTTATGTTTACTTTTTTGTATTTTAATTCGGTAACATTTTTATTCCTCATTTATGAGAAGGTTTTATGATGGAATAAAGCAAAATAGTTTGTTAAACTGTCTATGGTTTTTTGTTATGTAACAACAGTTAGTCTGTGTATTTTTGGTGCGATTTTCATCACGGGTTAACTGAAAATAGTATTTTTGTGATTTAGAACACAAGTAAGATTGTGTACATTCGATCTTTTATTGCATTGTTGATGAGAGCTTTTGCGACATTGAGGTAATGATGTTGTATTTATGAAAAGGTTTTGTGAAGACATTGGTAGCCTATAATATGAAGTTTATATACGAGTTTGCATATATCCATGTTTTTCAATGCGGCAATACAAACACACATTTATAAGTCTTATTATAGATTTGTAGTAATATGAGGTTGACTCAATACTATTTTTTTTTGTGAGCCGTGTTGCCTTTCTTGAATTTTGTCTTATTTCTGTTTTTCCAAAGAAAAGTAGAATTGAGAATCATTTTAGGACGACGGAAGTGTTATGTTTACGGATGGAACTAGACCCGGAACAAGATAGGACCAATGTTGGAACAAATGCAAGATAAAAATTTCTTACTGCGAAGCTTAGCTTGACTCCATCTGACCTAAAGCTGCCGCTAACATTTCAGCGTAGGCAGCTCCATTTGAGACTTAGTTACGCGATTACCATTTTTATAAGTTAGAGACAATCTTTGGATATGATTGTTGTTTTCTTAAGTCGTTCGATTTTCACCATGGACAACTTTACGTCGCGGTATCAAGAGTTAGACTACCGTCTAGATTGAAATTTATTATATGTGATAATGACGGAAGACCATAAGACATTAAATATTGTTTAGAAGGAAGTAAATAATAATTTGTAATTTTTTTTACCTTCATTTCCTTTTGTTAAAAAGGATATATTAGTTGTTCTATCATTACCACAACATTTCTATATTTTTTTTTATCCCAAAAGAAAACACCGTTTGGTGCGGTAAATGTTGGGCGACATTTACCAAATTTCACAACATTTCTATATATTTGCAAATAATTATTGCTTACTAACAGCATCCCGTGCGAAGCACGGGTGAAAATCTAGTTCTTTTACATTTTCTTCCCCTCAACCCACCTTCCTTTTAAGCCCTTTCAATCTTTATCATATTTTTCGCTTACACCAAAATTAGGAATCCAAAATCTCCAATTTTAACATTTTAGATTTTTAGGGGTGCTTGTATCTTATTCTTAAAACTGATTTTGCTCGTTCAAAGAAAGTTGGAGTGTTTGGGTGAAAGTGCAGAAGTGATTCTGGTACTCTAAATCATTTCGTTTTTTCGGTTCCCCCAACTTCTGAAAACTGATTTTGCTTCTGCTTAAAAAAAACAGAAGTAGAAGCAGAATTAATTCCAAACACCCCTAGTCTCTATCACTACAAATAGTTGAGATTATCGTGATTGATAGTAAGGATTATTAAAAACTTTTTAAATTTTTGACAGTACTCCCATTAGAAAAACTTTTTCAGCCTTATTTTGTGCCTAACGTCATGGCAAAGTTGGTTGGCAAGGTTTCCCAGCCAATTTTCAAAAAAGATTGAACTCTTTCTCCCTAAAAATTATCACAACCCTAAAATCCGATTCTTCTAACAGACACGGGTGAGAGTGTGAGACATGAACAATGCTCCTTATATGCGGATGATATGAGGTTTGTTGCTGGAGCGCACACTTTTCTCAAGGCATGAATCTCTTGCCCAATTTTGGAAAATGCAGTAGCATTGGTAGGTAATCTTCTTCGTCTTAGTTTGTTTGTGTTTTTTGTTTTTGCAGTGACATCACCCTATAGCATTTTATTTCATTTTCTGTTCTGGACTATCTGATTCACTCTCCCCTCAACTTGTCCTACTCATGCCACACAAAATAATTAACATTTGTTAGAGTAGTCCCATTCTTAAGAACATCAATTCGAAATATCTCATACTCACTATGTCCCTGTCATTTTATGGGTTCAATACATCTCTTACTGTAATTTAGGAATATGTACAATTTAATTAGTAGTACTAATATATATATACAATACCTACTCACACACACATATATGTGTGTGCGCATGTATTATCATAGAAGACTAGAAGATTTAACCATCCTAAACCGAAATGGAAAGATGGGAGTATGAACTTGTAGAGTATTGGGTTGAACTAGCTAATAGACTGATCTTGATCTTTTAGTTTAGTTAGCCTCAAGGTATTTATGTCCCAACTGATTGACCCCCAATCCAATTCTGATTTTGACACTTTTCCGACAGTAATGATCTCTACAAGGATGACCGTTAATTCAAAGATAATGGGAATTTATACTTCCAACACATAACTTAGTATGAAAACATTTGTTGGGCAGACTAGTTTCATTTAATTGTTACAGAGTATGTGAGTTTTTGTCCAATTTTTCACTCAAGCAGGCTGTGCCTACTGCCTACCATTTGTCTATTCTACTATTGTATACAACTAAGAGAAGTTTGCAGACTATGCTGTTCTGGAAGGCACACGAGATGTAACACCATCACAGCATCACTATTGAAGTCTTTGATTGGTTTAGATGGTCAGTACATATCTGCTACTCCATTTTAATTTAGGACCATAAGCTCTAATTACTTGATAATAAAATATGCCAAGGGTTTTTTCTATTTCCAACTCTATCAATTGTGTGACATTTTTGCTCTTTAAAATTTCCCAATTGTAGTCTCTTATTGTGAAAGACACACTTTCGCTACCTTCTTTGAGTTTGTCCACTTTTATACTTTTGATTATTATGACAGTGACACTTTGGCATTGTCTAAAACTTATAGTAGACCTCTACTCAAAGTGAAAGGTTCAGCGACGGGTACAAAAATGTCCTTGTCACAATAGCCTAGCGAAAAAATGGAGTTATTCAAAGACAGTACCAAAACTATCATTGCCAGAATTCTCAGAGGACTAAGAGTAGAAAAGCTCAAAGTGTCTAGGTGTTTTGTATAAAAAATATATGGAAAAGTCCATGTAATTTTCGACGCGATTTTCATTATGGATCATATGGAAACAGTCTCTTTGTGATTTAGTACAGGAGTAAGGTTGCGTACATCCGACCTCCCCTTACCCCACCATTGGTGGGAGCCTTTGCAGCACTGGGGTAATGATGATGATGCAATGACGCATCATGGAAACAACCCTTTGACAGTTATCAGGATAAGGGTAGAGATAAACTGATAGGAATTGGGCATATTAGGATAATAGTAGAAATAATAATAATTGTACAGGTAGTATAAGTAGAAGGGGAGGGAGGAATAAAGAGTAGGCTGTTATTCTGTTAGTTTGAGCTGGGAGATTTGAGACTTCTCTAATTGTCTCATTGGTGCTTGTATACCTTCTGTAAACCTTCTGTTAATGCAATAAAGTTTTCTTGATCAATTCTTGATCTGTCTTCATTAATTCTTTTAAATTCTGAGTCGGATTACCAGTGCTCTATCATAAGCTTTCTCTTTATCTCTGATGTATGCTATATTGTAAGATTATGGAAAGGTAAAAGATCAAATAGAACATTGATAAGACTGATAGTGGTTGGTTTTATTCTTTTTTGTTTTTAATACCTTAATTGGCTGTTCTATGAAGTGATTATCTAGGATTTTCCTTTCCTTGTTTTAGGCATTCATATGAATGTAATCCCTATTATATAATGGGCCTCTTTATACTAATAAAATATACAAGAAAGAAAAAGAAATCAAGGAGAAGGAGAACTCCCCAAATTCCAAAGGAGAAAGAAAACTCCCTGAATTTCCACTCATGTGATGCAAAGAATCCCGGTACATAACGTTTTGGTTTTGTTGCCGATGTTATGGGAAATTTTGCACTTACCACTGATCAGTACACACTCCTCTCCGAGATACAAAATGAGGTGCACAACCTAACAAGAGAAAGACACCTTCTCAATCTGCAAATGCAGTGCAAAAGGTGCAGCAGTTACTGCAGCCATTACTGGAGTCGGTTTAGACTTCAGAATCTTTTGAACTAGATTGCCAACCTTTCTCGATCACAGTACTCCTTGGCAGCTGAAGAAGCTCCCCCATTACCATCAGTAAACACTTCATCAACCTATGTTCCACTTCAACTGCCATCAGCAATGCTTCCCATGCAGAAACTCCTAGGGGCTAGAGCCAATGTTGTCCCCAGCACCGATAATTCACACTGCCCCGCCCAACAAGCTTCCAAAACAAGCAACTTGGACTTTCCGGATCCATTTTGATCAACTACAACTGTCCCATGGTACCATTATATTTGAAGGGAGTTTTTAATTGATGTTGATCATCTTCACCTTAGTCCACCTCTAAGACAAACTTTCTATGCCTGGTTCAAGTTTTCAAGCTTGAGAAGTTTGATTTTTGAGGAGGGGTGTAATAATACATGATATATTGTGAGATTAAAACACATTTAAGGCATGATAAACTTTAAAAAAACCAGAACTGTTACTATATTTTTCAATGAGCTCGTTACATATTTGGAATTCTAACAACAGTGATTTGTTATACAGATGTCAAATCAAGCTAGATGTTCAGTGATTCAATTTTATAATATGTTGAAATTGCATAAACATGCACACCGAGCTGCATTGCAAGCTATGGAGGGTGGGCAGAGTCTGAGTATGATTATTAAATGTAAGGTATTGGCCCATGTTTTTTCCCTAAGCCCAACACTTGTGTTTTACCCGACCCAATCTTTATTCTATCCATCTGCTCGCCCCTCTTGTGTACGATGAATCGGTCTGCCTTTCTCAGTACCGTTCACGGCCATTACTTCTTTCCTTGCTCGAGCATTTGCGTATCTTGTGCTTTGGTAAGTTTCCATTTATGAAATTGAGCTTGGCACTATATATATTACATACTTCTTCTTCTCTGGGTTGCTGGCCGAAAACATTCTTGCCCCAATTTCGCACCTTTATCTCCTCCGTGGAACCCTAGGTGAGTTGGCCGGAAAAAGCACTGCTGGCTGACGCCCTTTCTCCCTTTGTTGACCTTGGTGGTGTTTTTTAGCATCCTTTGTGGGTGTAAACCTTGGAGACCTGAGCTGGAGCTTAGTAATTACAGTGGTATCAGAGCCTTGCCACCTCCTGCCGCCGCCTGCCGCCGCGTCGACGCCGTCTGCTGCTGTCAAGAAGTCACCGGAGGTCCAGGGGTGCTGCCGCCGTCTGCCAGGAGCCAAACCAGCCAGCTAGAGCTTCTGCCGGAGTCCAGAAGCTGCTGCCATCACTGGTCCAGACCTTCTGCCGCCAGGGAGGTGCCGCTGCCGCCATCCAGATTCTGCCTACGTGCTCTACAGCAGCCCACGCTGCCTACGGTAAGTCGGGTAACCCAACCTCGGGCCCCGCTCAGGTAAATTGGCTTTAACTCTTCTTGGTGTACCGGAGTGCCACCTGATTAATTTCCCCCCGCTCCCCCGCTGCTGACCTGTGTGGTCTTGGAAGCCGGCTGTGCCCGGCCCCAGGTACGTTTACTAATCCTTTGTGTGATTTTTATTCGTAGTTCATTTTTTTTAATTTCAAGTTGAATTGCAATTACTTTGTTGTTTGAATTGTGATTACTTGTTTGTTGGTCCGTGGATTAATTTTCCGGTGAAGAATATTTTGTTTGGATACTCGTTGTCCAAAGTTGTGAATATTTCTTCTGATTTAAATTTAATCCGTTTGGATTTTGTTTTTTCTGTTGATTGATTTGTGGATTAATATTCCGGTGAAGAATATTTTGTTTGGATATTCGTTGTCCAAAGTTGTGAATATTTCTTCCGGTTTAAATTTAATCACGTGTTGGATTTTTTATTTTGATTTTTTCTGTTAATTGATTCGTGGATAAACTCTCCGGTTAAGAATATTTGTTTGGATACTTGTTGTCCGAAGTTGGGAATATTTCTGTCCGGATTAGTTTTAAATCCAGTTTCTTTGCTTGTTGATTAATTCTAGCCTATTTGTGCTTGTACGAAAGAACAAGGAGATTGTACCCCGAGCTTTGTGTTCATTGGTCTTCTCGGCTTGTTCGTGCTAGTTGCTTCGTACAATTGATAGCCCTATAGGTTATAATTAATCATTTATCTGTCTGTTGAGTAAATAAAAATTTTATCTGTGCTTGTACAAAAGAACAAGGAGATTGTACCCGAGCCTCGTGTTCATTGGTCTTCTCGGCTTGTTCGTGCTAGTTGCTTCGTACGGTACGAAAGAACAAGGAGATTGTACCCGAGCTTTGTGTTCATTGGTCTTCTCGGCTTGTTCGTGCTAGTTGCTTCGTACCGGTTGATAGCCTGATAAATTTTATTTATTCTCTTGCGTGTTGTGCTTGTTTTCCGATTAATATGGCTGTCAATCAATATAGCATGCTTCCATTTAACGGAAAGACAGATTTTGATATCTGGAAACATAAAATCAAATGTGTGTTGATCCAACAGAAAGTCTATAGAGTTGTGACTGGTCTCTATTTAGACACTGAGGATGCTGCAAAGCGCGTTGAGATAAATGAAACTGCTTGTTCCTCTATATACCTGAACCTTTCTGATTCAGTGCTCAGGAAGGTGGGTATTATAGATTCCGCGAAGGATTTGTGAGACAAGTTAGATAAGTTGTATACCGATACTTCTTTGCCTGGTAAATTGTTTTTGCTTGAGATGTTCTTTAGATTTAGGCTTGACCTGTCTAAGGACATAGATGAGAACCTAGATGTGTTTAACAAGCTTATTCAGAATATTAAGCAAGCTGGTGATAAACACATAGATGATTACACACCCATAGTGTTACTTAATGTCATCCCTGACTCATACAATGACGTCAAATCTGCCATAAAGTATGGTAGAGACGATATCTCGTTAGATATAGTCGTTAATGGATTAAGGAGTAAGGAGTTAGACCTTAGACACTCGAGGGGTAGTAACAGTCAGTCTAGGGACTCAGGTGAAGCGTTGTTTGTGAGGTGTAGGTCTAAGAGTAGATCTAGAAACCATAAGAAGGCAACAACGATAAGAACAAAAACAATGACCCGGGGAAGAAGAGAGGTAAGTCTAAGAAGAGTGTGTGCTATAATTGTGATAATTCTAGTCACTTCATTAAGGATTGTCCCCATCCGAAGAAGTCTGAACATGCTAATGTGGTAGATGATAACAACTTACATGAGGAAGTTTTTATGATTTGTGATTCTGTCAATTCTGTGTTGAGTAACTGAAAATGAGTGGTTGATTGACTCAGGTTGTACTTATCATATGACACCTTTTAGATCCCTGTTTTCTTCTTATGATTCTTGCAATGATGGTTTTGTGTCTCTTGCTGATAATAAGAAATGCAAAATACATGGGGTGGGTGATGTATGCTTGAAGTTTGATAATGGGACTGTGTTTACTATGAAAAATGTGAGGCATGTTCCTGATTTGCGTCATAACTTGTTTTCTGTTGCTGCTTTTGAGGGTAGTGGGTTAGAGGGTAAATGGGGTAATGGGTGCATGAAAGTTTTGAAAAATTCCCTTGTTTTGTTTAAGGCAAAAAAGGTGAATAACTTGTATGTGTGCCATGCTCAGCCTTTCTGTGATTCTGCTCATGTTGTTAGTTCTGATAAATCTGCTTTGTGGCATAATAGATTAGGACACATGAGTAATAGGGGTTTGGAGATTTTGCATAAATCTGGTTGTTTTGGTAAGGATTCTGTGTCCCCCATCCCCTTCTGTGAATCTTGTGTGTTAGGCAAGCAGCATAAGGTTACATTCCCCTCCTCCCCATATCCTAATCCCACTAAGTGTACCTCTGTGTTAGAGTATGTTCATGCTGATGTGTGGGGTCCTGCTAGTGTCTCTACCCACGGGGGTAAGAGATATTTTCTGTCTATCATTGATGATTTTTCTAGGAAGGTGTGGGTCCGTCTCCTTGAGCATAAGTCCGATGTCTTTGTGAAGTTTAGGGAGTGGAAAAACCTTGTAGAAAATCAAACTGGTAAGAAGGTCAAAACCCTTAGGACACATAATGGTCTAGAGTTTTGCAATAAGGATATGAACCAACTGTGTGTTGATTGCGGGATTAGAAGGCACAAAACTGTGCCCTATACTCCCCAACAAAATGGGATAGCCGAGAGGATGAATAGGACTGTTCTAGATAAGGTTAGGAGTATGCTTGCCACCACCGGTTTGTCTAAAAAGTTTTGGGGTGAAGCAGTTAACACTGCTGTCTACTTGATTAACCGGTCTCCTTCTGTTCCCTTGGGTGGGAAGTGCCCTGAATCTGTTTTTTCAAACAAACCCCTTGATTTGTCTAATCTTAGAGTGTTTGGGTGTGCAACGTATGTGCACCAACAAGGTGACAAGTTGGATCCTAGGTCTAAGAAAGGAGTCTTCCTAGGTTATCCCGAGGGTGTGAAGGGGTATAGGGTCTGGGATAGGAACCAGGTAGGTTTCAAAGTTGTGGTGAGTAGAAACGTTGTTTTCAATGAATCCGAGTTTCTTTGTCTGGTTAAGTCAGTTCCTGATTCTGAGTCTGATCCTAGTAGTACACCCGTTGAGGTGGAGTCCATACCACGTGCTGCTAGCCCTTTGTTTGCTAATCATGATAATGTTGTTTTGCATGATTCTAATTCTTCTGAATTGTATGATTCTGATTCTTCTGAGCATGATACTACCACCACTTCGAGTGAGGTGGAGCATTCTCATGTGCATTCAAATGACAATGAATCGCGTGATGAGAGTGCGGATGCTAGTGAGAATGATTTGCATGATTATCAACTTGCTAGAGATAGAAGTAGGAGAGTAATTAGGAGAACTGCTGATAGTATGCCTGATTATGCTTTCCATATGTGTGATACTTCTATGTTTGCTTTCTCTGTGTTTGAGACCCTTGAGCTTAACGAACCTAGAACCTATAGAGAGGCCCTTAAGTCTAATGAGTCCGCTAAATGGCTTTGCGCCATGGAAAGTGAGATGGAGTCACTTAGAGCGAATAAGACTTGGACGTTAGTTCATAGACCGCCCAATAGTTCCGTTGTTGCCTGTAAGTGGCTATTTAAGGTTAAGGAAGAGCCTAACGACATTAGATATAAGGCTAGGTTAGTAGCTAAGGGATTTACTCAAAAGGAAGGTGTTGATTATGCTGAAATCTTTGCTCCTGTAGTTAAATTTAGTATGATTAGAATGATGCTTGCTCTTGTTGCTCATAATGATTGGGAAATGAAGCAAATGGACGTCACCACTGCATTCTTGCATGGTGATTTAGATAAGAAAATCTATATGTCGCAGCCTGAGGCCTTTGTGGATCCCATGAAGAGTGATCATGTGTGTTTGCTTAGGAAGGCCTTGTACGGCCTGAAGCAGTCCCCGAGGCAGTGGAATATCATATTTGACCAGTGCATGTCATCTTTGAAATTCCACAAGTCCGAATGCGACCATTGCCTATACTTTAAAAATACTTCTTCTGTGTCTGTATTTTTATTGCTTTATGTGGATGACATGTTGATTGTTAGTCCTTCGGGTGACGCCATTAAATGAGTGCAAAAGCGTCTCAGTGAGAACTTTGCTATGAAAGACCTAGGTGATGCCAAAAGGATCCTAGGTATTAACATTGTTAGGGATAGGAGTAAGCGTGTGTTAGTTCTCAATCAGATTTCATACATTGAAAAGATTTTGAGTAAATATAACATGCATTCTGCTACTCCCGTTTCTATCCCGATGGCGTCTCACTTTGTGTTAAGTAAGGATCAGTCTCCGAAGACTGCTCCTGAAATTGCTAAAATGAAATCTGTGCCTTATTCCAATGCTATTGGGTCCGTGATGTATCTCATGGTGAGTACTAGACCCGACATTGCCTATGCTGTTAGTTGCTTGAGTAGGTATATGTCTAATCCTGGTTTAAATCATTGGAATGCTCTTAAGTGGTTGCTTAGGTACTTGAAATCTTCTGTTAATCATGGGTTGGTTTTCACTAGGTGTTCTGAGGGGGTTAAGTTGAGTGGGTATGTGGATTCGAATTTTGCTAACGATAGAGACAATAGGAAATCCACTACCTCTTATATGTTTACTCTTTGTGGGTCGTGCATTAGTTGGAAGTCTCAGCTTCAACCCATGGTAGCCCTATCCACCACTGAGTCGGAGTATGTGGCCGCTACCGAAGCGTTTAAGGAAGCCATTTGGCTTAAACGTCTCCTAACGGAGATTGGTAGCCTTAAGCAGGATATTTGTGTGTTTTCTGATAGTCAATCTGCTATTCAATTGTGTAAAAACCCTGTTTTTCATGATAGAACTAAGCACATTGATGTTAGATTTCATTTTATACGTGATATTGTTAGTGCAGGTCATATCAAGTTGATTAAAATTCCATCGGAATTTAATCCTGCTGACATGGGGACTAAATGTCTCTCTGTCGAAAAGTTGTTGTCGTGCAAACGCACGTTAAACATTGATTGCGGATAAGTTGCCTGGTGATCTTACCCCTTTTGCCTGAATATGTCTTTGTGATTATTCGGGCAATCCAGCGATGATGTGTCTCATGTATGTTTCAGAGTTTTTTTAACTCTACACCACTAGGGTCCAATAAGGTGGAGAATGTGTAAGGTATTGGCCCATGTTTTTTCCCTAAGCCCAACACTTGTGTTTTACCCGACCCAATCTTTATTCTATCCATCTGCTCGCCCCTCTTGTGTACGATGAATCGGTCCGCCTTTCTCAGTACCGTTCACGGCCATTACTTCTTTCCTTGCTCGAGCATTTGCGTATCTTGTGCTTTGGTAAGTTTCCATTTATGAAATTGAGCTTGGCACTATATATATTACATACTTCTTCTCTGGGTTGCTGGCCGAAAACATTCTTGCCCCAATTTCGCACCTTTATCTCCTCCGTGGAACCCTAGGTGAGTTGGCCGAAAAAAGCACTGCTGGCTGACACCCCTTCTCCCTTTGTTGACCTTGGTGGTGTTTTTTAGCATCCTTTGTGGGTGTAAACCTTGGAGACCTGAGCTGGAGCTTAGTAATTACATTAAAAGAATCGAGGAAGCTATGTCTTCCAGCAGTTGAACTATGGAATGCAAGATGTATACATATTTCGTGGAGGAAGGGGTAATATCTCACCCAGACTTCTAATTTTTAGAACATATATAAATTTGATGGGACACCTTTATAACCCAGAATATGCAGACTGGAAGCAATAATTTGGACGGAGAAGTAATGAAGAAACAAGAAACTTCTCAACTGGCCTGGTGTAGAGTTTTTATGGCACTTTTCACTAGAGGTGGTTCAACTTACTGCTGGTAGCCTGGTAATAACATCACACTGCATCTGTGAACTGCCTTTCAGAGAAGAGATTCTTCCATGGATAGCTGCACATTGAAAATTTAGTGTGCTCTCTTAGTCGTGACACCAAAACAATAGCCACTTGATTTGGTCCAGGCTCGGCATCATTCCAGGCCTCATTGAAGAGTAATGATTAGCGAACAATGTGAAAGAAATGTTTTTAGTTTATTTAAAAAGATGGTATTTATAAAGGGAAAATGTAAAGATTGAGCATTCGTTTAGTTTTACCAAAATTTAGCTTCGTTCCTTTTAAGTCCTTCAAAACTATGGTAGATGAACTACATATCAATATATCATGTAGACATGTAGTTCGCGTATTTATCTTTTTAACTTTATCAGTTAATTGTGGAGACTGGAGAATGAGAATCAAAAGTTACTGTTTGTTTTTGTTGAAGTATCCCATTGAATATTCATCTACTTTACTGCTATGCTCCAACTTTGCTACAAGGCATGCATTTATAATAGAATTTGGAAATATAAATTGAAGTTCATCTTGAAACTTTGAAACTATAACTTGAACTTCTCTTCATTTGAATTTTTGAAACCAAAATTTAAGATTTGAATAATTAAACACATCCATTATCCATATATGAGGCTGTATAGATGAGCAGATGGATTGATGGAGTAAAACCGTAAAAGCTATAGCTAGCTAGCTAGTACATATATAATGGGTTATTAGTATAATTGGCTATATAGCTAAGCTGCTAGTATATATGGATATGAAGATGGATATGAGATCGATTTGCATGCATTTTATGCGCTTACAAATTACTTCGACACTCGATTCGTTTCGGTATTTTTATTATTGTACGCTCCTAAACATATGCAGAGGTCCTTCCATGTTCATTACAATGCCCGCGGGAAGCGGCGGTCCTCCTCCCCTCGGGGAGCGCCTCCCTTGGCCTGTTGGGTCGAATTTATTCTCCAGTTCTCTCAGGTTTACCATTCCGTGGTCTTCTCCGCCTCCGGAAACTGCCATGTTCAGAGACGGCTTCGCCTCGTAAAACTCCGACACCACAACCGAGTCGCCGATTATGTCATTTCCGTGTCCGCCTCTGTCCAAAGAGAGATGGGCGGCGGCCATCGCTGACCCACATGATGTCCCCATCAGCTCGTCTGACCACATGAGTGGACTCTTCCCGTTGTGGCACGCGCTCGGCCTCTTCTTCTCGCCACGCGCCGCGGCTGAGCACAAATTATTGTCATCGTTGTTGTTGCACAAAAACCCATCGAGTGAAGAAGATGACCCATCGATATTGCTTTGCTGGTGAAGATCGAGATGGCCGTCTTCGTGTCCGCCGCCGTAGATGTTGAGATCTTGGAATGCCGAAAACCCTATAAAATCCCTCATGCCGCCCGAATGTTGATGATGATCAGGCTGTTGGTGATGACGGTGCGGGGGTGGAGGGGGATGATGGCTAGTAATACCGAGCTTGTAGGGCCCAGATGGTACTGCTCCGGGCCCCACATTGTCCCCGCCGGAAAGAGTCTGGCATGCTTTCTCCAGTATTGTTTGCATGTACTTCCCTTGAGCCTCAATCCTCAGCTGCAAATGCCTCTGTACCTGCATGGGTACATACATGTCATGCATCCCATTCATCCACATATATACAATTGAAATGTGTTTTATGTTCAAACCTAATAATCAATCATACTCCTATCACTTAAATATTGGTTAATACGCTAAACTTTGACGGATAATACATGGATATACATAGCATATAGTCATATACGACTTGCGGATAATAAGATTGGCCAATTTGACCACCATTGACTAAGAAAAGTCAATTGGTCAAAGAAATTGGGATGGGAGTATGAAAGTATTTATAATGGTCCAAGTGATTGACCAAATTTTACCATCCATCATTGATTACAAAAGTCCAAGATGACTCATAAAAAATAAGTAAAGGATAGACAGTATATTTATGTTTACTAACGTAATTTTATATGTTTATTTTAATTATTTATACCTAGTTACTAATATACTCCATATTTAATATGCTTATTTATATGAGAAAATTTCCTAAATTTGACTAAAACAAACTTAATTATAAAGATTAAGTTCATAAATAAGAATTGTTTTGTTTTATTCTTAAAATAGGGCTCATTTACTTTTGTTTTGAAAAGTTTTGATTAGCTTATTCTTTTAATAGGACTCAATAAGTCCTGTTTTGGGAATAAAACATATTTAATCCTATTTTGAACTTTGTGTATGTTTTAGTCATCAATTTTTACATTTACATCAATTCGGATGGGTCGAATTGAATCGTACTAAACCGGACACATTAAATCAAATCGAAATTGAACCATATTAAACCAAACTGAAATCGTGAAAAAAACAAATAAAATCAAATAGACTTTGCAAATTCAATAAAATCTTAATGTTTTGTAAAAAGAATAAAAAAATAAGTTGAACTGAACTAAAGGAAACTGAACCAAAGCCAAACATAACATGCGCTTTATTTTGTAGTCATTCTTCTAGTTCGCCCGTTTCAAACCAAACTAAAGATTGATAAAAAATTGAACATAAATTGATATGTCCATGGTGCACTCTATGGGTGGACTTGTTGACCGGACGGGGACTAGTTTACTAGATTCGATTAGGAGACCGGCACCACGAGTACCTGTCTGGGGCTGTGATTTTTGGGACCATAAGAGATCTTGTAGTGGTAACTGGTTCAATCTTTTTTGTGCATTTCAAGCATTAGCAACATTTTAAAGATGTGTAAATCCATTTAAAGGCTAAAGAAGGTTAGGGAGGGGTCATGAAGTTTAAAATCGCATAAAAATAAAATAAAAATTCGGGACCAGGGACAGACTGGAACGGGACATGGGACCCAGCCCAAAGTTAGAGCAAGGGTGTAGTTAGAATAGTGAACTAGGTTGAACTGCTACAAAGAATCTTTTAGACAATTTTTTACATGAATATTTTTACACTAATAGATACAAGGAAATTTAAATTTCAGGTGGATCGACGCCTAAGTAATTGGCTCCTACCTCCGCCCCTGCCCATGACCAGTGGCTCGGGACGGGAAGTCGGGAACCGGCCTGGAAACCGTCCATGCCTAGTGCACCCCTACTTTACTCTTATTATATTATTGTTGATGTATGGTGCACTAACATCGTGAGATATGTTTTCCCGGTGGTATGCAGTGCATTTCAAATTGTTGTATTTGAGTGGAGTTGAGTGGCAAAAATAAAATGGCAAGCCTTTTATAAAGATCATATATCATGCACGGAATTTTGCACATGCTTGATCCTTACGTGACTGTCCGGTTCGGATTTCGATAACGGCCAATTTGTACCCACCCCAAGTTCAAAAAGGGCAAGTTTAGTCTCTAGTCACTACTTCTTGGGCGACAAATATATGGCCCATTCACATTGAGTATTTTTAGGACAAATTAAATGTTTATTATATGTAGACATATTAAATCAATTTATTGAATGATACCATTATTATATGTGTGTTTTCCGAGTGTATGTCACATTGTCACAATCATAGATTAGCTAGCTAGGGACGACCGTAATAAAAAGGTTTAAAACGTTGGAATCAAGACAGTAATTCCCCAATGTAAATATTTATCGTTAAAGTTACCATGGTGTATTTATCAAAATCCAAACTTGGGTTGCTAGGCGTGGCTCAAATTTATTTCAAATGTCAATGAATACGTTGTACTTGGGCAGTATAAATCAATAATGTGCTTTGAGAAAATGCTCAAAATAAAAGAAATATAAATAAAGTTAAAAGTAGTACTACATACTATGTACTACGTATGTTTTAGTCCTTAAAAAGAACCTACTTAGTTCTATTAATTGAACAAAACAATAACAACTTTACAAAACAAGACTAGATAATTTTGTTCCTTAAATAGTCAAATATGTATAGTAGGACCAGAACTATTAATTTCGTTGATGAAATAGGATTCAACCACCCCTTACAACTTTGTATTAATTTTTTTATTTTAGTTAATTACTAGCTTTCAAGCCCGTGCGATGCACGGGCAGTATATATAATTTAGCTAATTTAAAATTTGATTTCTTTCGGGTCATATGTAATGTGATTTAAAAGAAAAATAAACTTAGTCTAATATAGAGGTTGTTTGATAACTGAAGTAAATCGAATTAACTAATTTTACTGAAATTGATTAAATTCTAGCTGAATGGGTGGAATCTCCTAAATCATGAAAAAAAATTGTAAATATATTCCATTTGTGAGGCCAAGAAAAGATTATATGAAAAATAGTTAAATCGACCTTCTACATAAGCATCTCAAGTAAATATAATTGCTATGAACGTGATTTTAAAGAATTCATAATCTCACGTCCTCTAAATTACTTTATTATGCACCACAAGTTTTTTTCTTCTACTATTCCTCGTTCAACTTGATGTGAAATACCGAGTACATACCCTTAACTTTTAATAATAAGATGTTACATTTTACTCATTATTTCGTCACACCGTAAGTCCGTAAATGTAAAACAATGGAGTTTTTTCAAGAGAGAATTTCCTAAACAGGAGTAAAAATGTTTTGAAATTCCAAAATAGGAGTATCATCTTTTTTATTCTCTGAATAGGAGTAATCTGCCAAGTTTGGAAAAAATGTCATGTTTAAAAGTCTAGTTATTCCAAATATGGCAAAAATTTACTCCTATTGAGGGAATAAAAAACATGATACTCCTATTTTGATATTTCAAAACGTTTTTACTCCTATTTAGGGCAATTTATGTTTTTTAACATTTTACTCATTATTTCGTTACATTGAAAACAACTTTTAATTGTTATGAACATCTAAATTACTTTATTGAGCATTTCAAAATAATATTTTCTAGTATTTCTCATTCAACTTGGTATGAAATACACATTTAAAACTTTTAATTGTGAGATCTTACATTTTACTCATTAATAAGGACGTTTTTAATTGAATTAAAATTTTGGGTTTGATTTGGTATGAATTAATATGGTCTGGTATATGTTTGTTTTACATTTTATGTGACTTATTATTATTATTATTATTATTATTATTATTATTATTATTATTAAAGTTTAATCTGATCTGATTTGATTTGGAATTGAAATCAATCCAATTAAAAAAAATCTATTAAAATAAAAGTAGGAATTTGTAAACATATAAAGATTTTCTAATTTGGATTAGGAATCTATTTCAAAAGTGAATGCACATTTAAATTGTAGTTGTAAAATAAAGAAATAACCAAACATATTTACTTCTTTGGCTAGGCCTAAATGTATTTACTTGTGAAAATATACATACATGTATGTATTTATGTTTGATATTAATTTTAATCCTTATTAAGTAAACTACTTGATCAGAAGTATTATTTTAAGATTCTATATTAGAATATCTAATAGATTTAATTTCCTTTTTTAATTTCAATTATA